GCTTCTGGGGGTGGAACCTCTCCTGCAGCCCCCCAATTGCCCCCTCTCCCCAGATAGCAGCCTGCAGCAAGTGCAGCCGGTCTGATGGCCGAGTGCTGTGATGTGCCCAGTGTGGGTACTCTGGGCAATCCAAGCCAGGACTGCTTTGCAAGCGGGGCACCCCTGAAATTATCGCTGTAGTGTAGACATACCCAAGCACATGAGTGCTGAATAGTTTGAATAACTTCATATGTTAGGAACCTGAAACACAACTATGATCTATCCTGTTCACAGCAGTCCATTCTCTTTTTTTATAACACTGCTTTAGTTAAATACATAACTGTTAGACTATTTCACTGCTTTATTCTCCAGCACAACACTCCCCACCCTGTCCTGATCTACACAGCTGTTAAAGCAACAAGATTTAACAAGAAAGGCAAACTCTTAGCTTTATGCATGGTGACAATTCATTGTCCCTGGTTTCTTCATAGCTCTCCGTTGGAAAACAAAGTACAGAGACTGAATCTCTATGCTTAGTTACAATTTTTTGTTGTTATGCAGTGTAAAAACCCTTTTACAAATAATTTAATTAAAACTGGAATGCACAAAACTAAAACGTTCACATAGTCACGAACTGTTACTCTTGCCTTATTCAACCTGAGCAACAACAACATAACATAGTAAATAGAGTTTAGTGCTATTCTTTTTGGCTGTTTAGAATTATGAATCCAGGGTCGAATTTCAGGGGATGTTGGTTTTGGTTTCTGAACAGCAAATATAAAGTTTCAGGCTTAGTTGGATATCAGATACAAATTAACACAATAAGATACCATACCGATTGTTGAAAATATGTTTGATTTTTATTGGGTTGCTTGTTTGTTTTTTATAGCAGGTATGATCCAATCAGTTGTGTACATCTTTATGTTTGTGTAGTGCCAGCAGCAGACATGAGCCTTCCCTACCATTCATCTGACACCACAGCACCAGGGGAAACAGTCTTGCTCACATCCTGCCTCAGGCTAAATTTTGGAAAATGGGGCACAGTAGATAACTCACCATTTAAATTATATATTTCCTTTTGATGTGTTGTATTTGGCCCTAGATCCTGCAATTGGATACACTAAATTTGATCCTTGTGTCGGTAACCCAACTAAAGTTTATGGGGCTCCACAGAGGTTAAATGTGGACTTTTATCACAACCCTATGTCTTACAACTCCCGGAAATCCACGGCTCTCCTTCATTCCACTCTTTACACATGGTACATGGTCTAAAGCTTATTAGAATGCGTTCACTGTTTAATTCAATGTCCTTTACTTACAGCAAAATGCAGGACAATGTAGCACTTTAAAGACTAACAAGATGGTTTATTAGATGATGAGCTTTCGTGGGCCAGACCCACTTCCTCAGATCAAATAGTGGAAGAAAGTAGTCACAACCATATATACCAAAGGATACAATTTAAAAAAATGAACAAATATGAAAAGGACAAATCACATTGCAGAACAGAAGGGGGATGCGGGGGGGTGGGAAGGGGGAGGAAGGAAGGTAAGTGTCTGTGAATTGCTGATATTACTTTACTTACAGTATTTCCATGTCTAAACCTATTAGTGTCTGTGGACAGACATTTTTTGCATTTCTCAAATAGAGTAAGTAAAACAAGTAAGAAAACATTATAGATGGCATTTGACTCCAGTTAAGAGTCATAGTATTTTTGCTGCAGGTAAATAGCATAAAACTTCAAAGTCAATAACTTAGTAAGTGATTGAACAGTCAAGAGGTTTACTACAGGAACAAGACTGTAGAAAGTATTTTGCAGATTGCAGTTTGGTCCAGCTTTGTGAGAATGGTGTAATTAATATACCATGTGGTATTTTTTTAAAGACAAAAGTGGCCATAAAATTTTGCACTACAAAGAAAACAACTTACTCAAGAGTGCGGAGTATGAAGTGGTTCTAAATTTCTTCCATTGTAAAACCTGTTAACTGTGCAACAATAACTCCAAACTCTACTGCTTCACTAGAGATAATTTCTCCTGTCTATCGAATTGACTAAACTGGTTAATAATTTTCTTTTTATTCTCTCCTAAACCAAAAAGCAATAAGGGGTAAGAATGAAGTTTACTGATGAGAAAAACCCAGAACAGAATTAAAATAGAGAACTTAAAATTACCATGTTGAAAAGAAAAAAAAAAAACCTTTGCAATCTATTAATGTAGTCAAAAGACTATTACAAAACTTTACAATTTAATTATTGGAAGATTACAGAACTGCTTCAGTGCTTTTGTACTGTGTTAAATAAGCTGTACGTGCAAGGAGTAATAAATGAAATTGTTAATTTTACTATATCCCTGGGGAATAGCAGTGGGGGTTACATAATTTAGAGCTCCAAATGGATTTGGGTTTATATGCTGTAATAAATCCTAACTACATTATTAATTAACCTTGCCTCAAGCCCCATTTTGCCTTCGGGTTGAAAGACACAGTGACTAGTAGGATAACTCACCATTCACATTCTTAAAGATGTTTAGTATTGGGAGGATTTGACGATAATAGGGCACCAACGCTTCACCCACCATGTCAGCTGACACCACCAGGTGCTGGAGAACTTTGAGTGTGATGCAGATGACCTGTCGGTTACGAAGGTTCAGTGCATCTGTGATGTAGAAAAAAAGACAGGCAGAAAGCAGAAGAATTAATTTCTAGAATGTAAAAGGGAGGGGGAGAAGCCCTCTAATGGACAAATTTAATTAAACTATACTCTGTTGGGGATTGTAAGTGGGCCTTTATTAGCCCAGCTTTGAAAGATCCCAGAGATGGATTGCAGCCCCGCTGTTATAAAACACAGCCTTGTCTGATTGTTATTTGTTCCCACAATTTGTGCTGACTCCTCACTAACCCCAAGAATGCAGCTCATTATTCTCTCATGCTGCCTGTGTTACTAGTCTGGTGCAAATAAATAAATAATAAAAAAGAAAACCTCAGTTAGTACCATCGGGGCCAATGGAACTGCAAGACAACCTGTGAAGGTTGACAACAGATACATTCTAGTGCAACAATTAGCCTGTTTGTGAGTGTGTACCCATTTGCTTAGCTATCATTTTATTCATTTCAATTAACAATTCCTGCTATTCTAAGAGCTAGTACAATGAGGCAAATGTTTGTAGAAAAAAACCTGTAGGCTTCTTTTAAAAGACACACATTCTGATACAAAAAAAGAAAGACTCTGTCTTGCCTACTTGAGATTTTGAGTAGTTGCAGCTGAATTTTCTCTTTGCATTCAGTCTCATGACATTTCAGAAATACTTTTTGTCTCTTTCTTCTTGGTTTTAGTAATAGAAGAGAAGTTAATTTGCTTTCCCTTTTAAAATTTCAAAATGACTTAATAATTGAAATAATCCACATTTTGGAAGCAATGGCCACATATAATACTCTAAAGTGAATGGTGTTTGACTCTCCTCTGACTTCATATTATGCAGATGTTTACATCTGTGCAAAGGGAGTACAAAGTCAGTATAAAATTATAGATTTTCACAATAAATAAGCCCAATATTTTTAAACAAAATATTTATTTCTGAAATAAGCCTGATAAAATAATTGATCACACCTCCTTTCATGATAAAGATGTCAGACAAAGCTAGAAAAAGTAATATTTTGTCTATATACACTGTCAAATGTTCATGAACTGCACACCACACATTATTGGTAAATATCTTTAAAAAAAATCGAAGTTACTGATTAGTTACTGATTAGTCTGAATACCAAAGCTCACACGAATAGTATTCAACATCGCTGGTGTTGAGCTATGGAAGTATATATGAAAGCCCCATCCACTGGGGGTTTAATAGTATTCTCATGGTAGGATGATATCATTGACACTGTCTGTATAAATCAAGGCATACTTCAGGTTACATGGGTTCCTTCTCCCTAGTCTGAGGAGTCCTGAAACACAAAGAGCTTATATGCAGAGGAGAAGATGGGTGGGTAGTATGAATGCAAAGAGACGATTCTTGAAGCCCACCACTTACTGGTGAGTAACTTTTATTTCTTCTTTTAGTGCCTCTGTACATTCTCACTAATGGGAGATTAGCAAACAGTGCCCCCATCAGAGGAGGATGAGGAAGGAGTTCTAGGCAAAAATGGACTATAGTACTGCTGTGTCAAATTGAGCTCCACTACACAATGCCAAGTCCAGTGATTAATGCTTAATGAAAACACAGACTACACACTATGCTGAAGCTTTGAAAAGCTCTATCACGAGATTCCTCTGGGTGAGCATGAGATCCGAGGAGGAAAATGGGCAGGGACACATATTGTGATAGAAGAAAATGTGTGATAACTAGGCATAAAACTACGACGGGGTTCCATGACAACTTTCTCTCCGTGTACTACAACAGAGGATGGAATGGCTACCCAGGCTCTGAGCTCACTAAACCTCTTTTCAGTTAAGAGCTCTGTTTTGATAGACAGATAATCTAAAGGTGTCTGGATCAGTGGCTCATAGGGAGATCACATTAGCATAGTAAATATTAGATTCAAGTCCTAGGTCAGAGGAAGTTCTCTCATGGGTAAAGGCATCAGTCCCTTTAGAACACATAAAACTGTGGGATGAGACAATATGGATTTATCCCTGACCAAGTTATGATAAGCCAATTTAACTGACAAATGAACCCTGAGGGAAGTTACTGCTAACCTTTGTGATTTCAAGTATAATAGATCATATAAAATTTCCTTTATTGTTACTACTCTACAGCACTCTTTTGAAGAAGGGAGCTTATATCCTCCAATAGGAGTTTTTCAAAAGAGAAGTCCACAAGGAGATTTGGGAGTAGAAGGAGAGTGGATACAGCCTAGTATGTAACTGGAGTAGGCAACCATCTCTGATGGACTCCAATACTCAAAAGTCCAAAATAATCTAGGACCAGGCATTGAAGAAAGACGAGAAATGAAGTCTGACCTGCCAAGCGAGAGGGGTGTGACTCTGGAGAGAAGTCATGTTTGGGAGTCTGAGACTACATGCAATAAGGGATTTCTTTAATGTGTTCTTTCTGTATTGTTGCTGAGATGGGTACTCTGTTGATGCTAAATGGTGGTTTGAGGGTGTGTTTCTGAAATTAAATGTTTGTATGGCTTGCTTTCTTTTAACAGTAGATGTAGACTAGGAAGTCCCTGAGACCAGGCTATGATTTTAGTTTTAATCTGTATCTTAATATCTTACTGAAGAGTACAAAGCAACTGCAAAGAACTTGGCTGAGGGGAAGACATTAGCAAAATATTCTTCTTGGGCAATTTACAACCCTCAGATACAACTAGATCTACATCCTTTGGCACTGCTCTGAGGAGATAATCATGATTAAAGATCAGGCTTTGCTCTAGGCTCAGAAAGTAAGAGACAATTTTCCCTTTAAGGGCCACAGCCTTTTTTATGTCAGGAAAACACTCAGGAACCAGTGCAAGTTCATCCAGTGGTCACTGGCAGCCAGTGATGAACATGGTTTGGCAGCAATTAAAAGAGCCTTCATGGATTCCTAAACGAAGGACAACATGAGTAACTGATGAGGATCCTTCTGAAGATCTTTCTGCACTGAAGAAGTCTTTTTTGAAGAAAGCATACAGGACTCCCTTGAACAGACCCACAGAACTTGCATGGCTGGTTCTGAGAGGAACCCATGTTCCTCCATAATGTTTTGAATTGAAGTAGGTGGAAAATACTGTTTTGGATCAAGCAGTAGAAGCAAAGCTACTAGCTTTGATGGGGATTCAATAAAAAAGATATACACGCCAGAGCGTTGTCTTAAAAATTAAAATCTTAAGTTAAAGAGTGGAGTGTAGGCAAAAGCTGACATCAGCATTGGGAAGAAGCCCCCAAAGAAAACATGCCAGTGATAAAAAGGAAACAATGCCACTTCTCTTCTTCTCCACACATTCCCTCCCTATCTTTTCTCCTTTTTCCCTGTAGCAGCCACCAGAGATGTGGAAGTATGTTGTTTGGTTAGGATACCAACCAGTGTCAATTCTAAGCTTCAAAGAAATTGTTCATCCTGACAGTAATGCTGAGATGTATCACAACACTGGTGTGACTGTCTAAACGGAGTTTACAGTACTGAACAGTGTTGAGTGGGAAGCTTAGCTGTTGTTGGTGTTAGGTTTGAGGAGGTAAACCTTAGGCTCAACCTTAAGGATGTGCTGAGGCAAGAGTGTCTGACTCCATATGAATCTTAAGACTCTTTATGGAAGACCTCTGCACATACATGGATCTCAAAGTTTCCACAGGAGTATCAGAGTAACAATTAGAAGAAAACAAGCTAAATACACTCACAGACAAGAGAGTTAGTTCTGTTAGCTCTCAGTGGCAAAAGAACTGAGGTGTATATAGACAGAGCCAATAACATCACTCTAACGAAAGAGTACTACTGCCTTCCCGCTCTCCCCTGGATGTGGCTTGTCTATACGTTTCCATAGCTCAGTGCTGAAAGTGCTAAGTCCCATTAGTGGGAATGCATAAAATCCCTCAAAGAACTACATTTCCACTTCGGTTGCCATCACCTAGAATCAGAAGCGAGGCTCACAATTCCAGTCAGAGTAGCAAAAATATTTAATATTAAATCTCATTGCAGATGTCTATAAAACAGAATCATGGAAGAATTAAGGGTATATGTATCACACATATACTTCTTTAAATGCTAGCTTTATTTACACATATGCACAAAGTGTAGAGTCCATCTCTAATAGGACAATTTCTATTCTGAGCTGTACTTCTGACATTTATATTAATTTCAATGGTAGCAACATACATGCAGCAAAAGAAAGAACGGGCTCATAATGTCCCCTGTCATGGCAATGAGTATGGTATAAGAATAGAATAGAATAGAATAGAATAGAATAGAATAGAATAGAATAGTTCAAGCTTGGAAGCCTCTACATTGTAGAAAACTGAAGTGCATGCTAGGGAGATGCTTGTAAGTATCAAAAATTAGATCAAGTTGCCCATCCGACTTATTTCTAAACTTTTATGTTTGGTATGCATAGCAGCCTTGGCTAGCTCTGGGTCCAATTATGCTAGGCATTGTATAAAAATATTATTATTGTCAGTGTCTGCTCCAGTGTATCATTTGGACCAGACAAAGTACATATTGGTTTAATTTTTTAATCTGGGAATTATTTTCTGTGAATTGTTGTTACTGCATTCTTCCACACTAACTAAAGTGTGAAATAAGTGTGCCTTCACAGTGGCCACATACTTTGGAGAGCTTTAATGCTTTCTGTCAGTCAAAAAATGCCTGCAGTCAGACTTCCATGAAAGTATTTGGATAAGGGTCACTATATATGCCTCAAAAAGCTGAAGAAAATGTAAGCCATCAAAAGTGCTCTTATTGAGAAAGCAACCTGAGCTATTGTGTCTTGTTAGAATCCGCTGAACAAGGTGGGACCCTTACAGATCTCCACAAAGCAAGTAAGTCAATAACAGTCTATTCTGAGTGCTTGATAATTAAAAGACATCCTTCCATTTCCTAATTGCTACTTAGAGGACTCCACTCCTCTAATGGTAGGTAGCTCTTTTCTGCTCAGCAAGTCTGCACTGTAGTCATTTGATTGTGGGATTCTGCTGAGCAGCAATTTTAGGAAGAAAGAAAGAACTGTTTTCCATCTGTATGT